TTATAAAACAAATTTTATTATTATTTATGTTATTTTATTATAATTATTATTAATAATTTTTTTTAACAATATAAACAATCACAACTGAACATACTTAATAGAACAAACAAGCTTAAATAATTAGATTCTAAATTTGTCGTCAGTTATTTTTTTTTTAACTTTTTTTTTCTAATAAATACTTTTTCATTTTCTGAAACGAGCCTGCATTCTAGTGAAAAATTTTCCAATGGTTTGTAATAATGAAATTGGCGAGTATTCTTTATTGTAGTTAAGCGTTCTAATCGTGGTTGGTATTTTTTCAAAAAGAACTTTGGCCCTACTGAAAAAAGAAAAGTTGGATTGTTATCTGGTTGTTTTTATCACGTTGGAGACTAGCACGATACACTCCCTGCTAAGCCATCACACGCTCCTTTGCCATGAGATGTAGCGAAAAAGTCCGACCAGCATCAACAACAAAATCATTTTTATGATTAACTAAATTGGCAAAATTATATTTAAATAATAATTAAAACTAATTTTTTAATCATATAATTTTTTAATTCACTCGAGCCATTTTAAATCAAAGAAAATATTATTATTACAATTAAAAATTATAATACTAAAATATTAACTAAAAAACACAACTCAACAACACTTCAGCTTTTATTTTTAATAATTATTTGATGCTTTGTGTATAAACTTATGTCACGAATAGACAGGTATGACTTCTAAAATGATTTTGTTATTTACCAGGATACGCGAAAAACAAATGAAAATCGTAACGGAGCGGTTTTTCTTTTGTTTACTGAAGATGTTGATGATCAGTGTTGACTAGTAAATTTAAAAATAATAATTTATTAAATTGCCTAGTAAGAATAAATATAGACCATAACAGTTTTAAAATTTTAAAGTTGATTATTTTTTTCTAAATTTACGCTTTTTGGTAAAAATTAAAAAAAAATGATTTTATTAATAATAATTGTAATAAAATAACATAAATAATAATAAAATTTGCTTTATAATAATATTTTGTATTATTATTTTAAATTATCACTGATAAAACCTTCAATGCAGTTCGAGACGCTCGGCTGCGCGGCGCTTCCACAGCGGCGCGCTGTCACAAATAAATTCATTTTGTTTAAACTAATGACGAGCAGTGAAATTTTCTTCTGGAATCTTAAACTTAAATGGATATTAAAAGAACGTGATTTTTTTTACCAAGAAATCAGTTAAATTTTAATTTTTTAATAATAATAAAATAAACAAATAATTTTAAGTAGTTAATATATTCCAAAAGTATAGATATTTAACCATAGATGCTGAAAATTTAATAAATTTTTCTGTTACGGTTGATTTTTGATCCATTTTTTAATTAAAAGTGCTTAAAATTTTCATTATAAAAAAAATGTTGTTAAAAATCAAAATTATAAAAAATCGTTTGGGGGATCAATTTTTCATCATAATTACTTACAAAAAATATATATAGATTAAAGTTTTATGATGAAGTGGTAACTAGGGGGTCCACTTGACGTGATCTTACTCATAACAAAAATAGCTTTTCGGCTTATCTTTTTACTAAAATATGTTATTAATTGACCAATGATTTTTGATCATTTTTAACAAATAAAGGTAGTTAAGAAATACTTTTTAAAATAGCCTTTTTTTACAGGCGTGTTACTAAAGATACATTAACAATTACGAGAAAAATAAATTTATATAATTGTTATAGATCAATGATAAAAAACACATTTTATTACATTATTTGCATTAATTTTATCTATCCAAAACTAGTGTTTCTATTAGTATGTATAGATAATTTTTGTGATCCGGAATGCAGATTTAATCTAACATGTAAATATTCACTTTAAACTACTTCTGGACGGAGAAAAAAATTTTTCTTTTAATCCCGAAAACGGAAGGAAGGAAGGGAGGACTTAATATTTTCACCACCGTGTAATTTGTATAGGCATTTTTCATATTGTTAATTTTCTTTTAGTGTTTGATTGTCTGCTTTTCCTTATAGTACAAAAAAAGAGAATGAAGTTTAACCCTTTTTTATTAAGAAATGACACAAAATTCTTAAAAAGTTTTTCAGCTTAATTGCAGCTATCTAAAATAAAGAACTACACTTAATCAAAACAAAATTGTGGCACATATTCTTTCCTACGTTTGAATACATTAAAAGTATAAACAAAAGCAAGTAGTTCAACATCAAGTATCAAGTTTTGTAAAAATAGAAGGATCCATAAACCACATATCAAATTTTGGTAATGTATCGATCAGCTCCCGGGCTACACCGGTAAAAACTGAAACCGCACTGACCAATCGTAGACTTTCTCAGGCTTCGTGCACCCAGGATGTGCGACCAAGTCAAATCAAACAGTACTGTACGAGTAGATACATACTATAAAGGAAAATATATTTAAAAAGCATTTTCAAATTGAGGATGTCAAACTTATTACATCAAGGATAGCATAACTTCGAGACAATTTTTTTAAAGACTTATTTTTTTAACATACGGCACAACCATATTCTCAAATCGAAAGTATGTTATGTTTTGTAGTTTTCATTTGAATATTAGGTAGTTTAAAACAGAAAATAGTACGTTTTCAAAATAGGTATATTGTTTCTCATTCTAACATTATATATCATCATCTAAAGGAGGCAACATTTTCCAAATAATGAGATGCAATCTCAGAAGTAGAATTTGTAATTTAGGAATAAAAATTTGAAACATTTTAAAACAGGACTATTTACTACAATGAAAAATATATCTCGAAATCATTATATTCATTTTTCAAGAATATTAAGATTCTTAATTTATGCTGATGTGAATTTGCTTTTTTTCTGTGCATAATTCAATCTGAATCAGAAGATGGATTGATTCTAAACAACTTGTTGAATATTAAGGGCTCTTAGAATATTTTTTGATATTTTGAATCCAGTTACAAGAAAGGGTAACTTTTGGGAGTGTTCAATTTATATGCTGGTAAAAAATAATATGTATGTGAGAGTTTAGCTGGACGAATGGCATACTGCCTTCATTGTATATTCAACCTCATAATAATGATAATTAGTATATATTTAATGTCACCGTATTTTCTCATAGTTCTAATGTTATTTTATTATATCTAAATAAACATTATATAATATTTCATAACTACTATTGCCGTCGGCAGGTTATTTCGATAAAAGTCAAGACAATATACTTTGAGACAATGTATACAGATACGATAGTTTGAAGGGATTCTTAAATTTTAACTTATTCGAAAATTACATAAACGCACATTTTTGTTTCTAACAATATACTGTTTTATTTGGGAACTCAACGAGCTGTTGCTCGGCGGCAGTGACGAATAATTGCAAAAAAATAGCACGACGTGTAGATGGACTCTCGTCCGTACCTTCTGCACGACTGAGACTTGTTGGGAACACTTTGTCGTGACTTAACTGTACTGATTTCGGGAGCGGAATAAAGTTTTATTTGAACTAGCTTATAAAAATGCCGGAATAATTAAGAGCACTTTGACAATGTGTCGAGCGAATATACATATAATACTTTTAGCCCGAAGTCAACTGTGCTCTTCGGCGCCTAGTCTAGGTTAGGTTAGGTATGTAACTCGTGCTATCTTTTTATGATTTATTGTTTTGTTTTATTCTAATATTTTCAAAGCAATCCGCTTTTAATGTGGTTTTGTTTTTTATTTCTAAGATAAGTTTTTGTCATGATACATACATACATGACAAATTAGTAGCTTTAAAGGATGATTGATATTCGCTATTTTATATTGCGTAATATATTTTAAGTACAAAACATCTACACAATTTTTTTGAGCGCTAGACAACATCAGATTTTTTTGTTTACATAAATAGTAGGCATTTCAAAGTCAAATATACCCCGAAGCTAAACTACGGACATGTTTTGATACAAGTACTTACGCTGAAACGCCTAATAAAATCGAGCATAACACTTCCAAGTCCCTATAAAGAAATATAAATATAACCCCACCCGGTGTACCCAAGGTTACTAAAACTTTTATTTCCTTCCGAATTATTTATTTTTAGGCATTCTAAATGCAACATAAAGCGGCACTATTAAGTACTGGAATCTATTATCGCGATGCATTATCGTAAATCCTGGCACTATTCCAGTGATCTTTCGGGAAAGAAATTAAACGACGTGACAGGTAATAGCCAGCATTGCCGGTAATAATCTACAGGGTGCGCCAATAGCATTATTATATACTTATTATTATTATATACTTATTATTATTATATACTTATTATTATTATACCTAGGACTAGGCATTTGCAATTCGTAAAATCTATCGTGAGAGCAATAAGGCCAATATATCTGTTTTTAATTATAAGGTAGGTAACAAATTTCATAATGATAATAAAGTATTTAGCAAATATATAAGCAGGCAGTCGCATGGCACAAAATTTCATACAGTGCACCTGCACTTTATCCAATTTTCTTGATAAATAGTTATCTTCACACACTTGACTCAGTTTTTAGTGAACATTTAACGGGAAATGGACATATTTTAAGAGAATATTGCCGTAGAAATGTCACATCCAAATTGGAAACTATCTAGTTGGCCAACTGTCAGCGGCCATTTTAGTTGCTACGCATCTAGGCCTTATTGTTTTAAATCAATATTTGAAATAACATTTTAATCTTAATGGCCCTTCTCGTCATTTTTTTTTAGGGTGGCTGCAAAAGTTCCTATCTTATCAACATACGCAGGGTCTCCATATGTCTACTCTAGTAGCTACATATATAATTCCGACGTCCATATGACACGTTACACAGTGAATGGATTCATGAGGTTTTGCAAAAATATACCTAAAAATTAATGGCCGTAGAAAAACTACAACACAAAGTTTATCAAACCTGTTACATAATATATTATTAGAATATTCTTTTTCAACTTACACATGTTTGAAAAAATGAAAATTAACTTATTAAGTAGAAAAGGGAATTAATGTTAAAAAAATTCTTTCATTATACTAGTGTGTGTAACCTTTGTATAAATAATTAAAAATCGATCAGAAATGAAAATTAAAAAAGATGATTCCTGGTGAACACACATTATGTAGCTTTAATATTGCGCATATGCGGCCTTATGGCTTTCATTGTTGGTGAATGCTTAAAAAATTGACAAGTTGAACATACAAATTTTGCAGGATCGAATCCGTTACGGGAGAAACCACTTTAAAATATTTTGGAAAAATTCATGCCACAGGAAATATTTTCTACTGTCAAAACTGAAACTGTTTTAACTTTTTAAACACTACTATAAATATACCAGCGATGTGAGAAAATATGAAGCTAAATGCAACATAAAGCGGCCCTATTAGTTACCGTGGTTGTCGTTGCTGTGTACCCATCAACACCAGCAAAAATAATTTAATAGAGACTATGATGAAATGTGGTTTCATTTTCCCATCGCTTTAATAAATCTGGCTATTTTAAGGTTTTGCATTTAAATTCTACATCCTAAAAACAGTCCTATTTTCGACTAATTTATTCTACAGAGAGAGAGAGAGAGAGAGAGAGAGATTTTTTCTCTGTTGATTTAGGGAATATCGTCTCTTCGTACGGCACTGCTCCCCGGTTTTCTTTTCCCATCCTCCGCGCCGAGTCGGCAGCCTCTGCCTCTGTCCAAATTCACTTTAGCCTCTTATAGAACACAGATATGCTTTTAGCGGACGCCGACTTATTCGAAAGGGGAGCCAAAACAGCCCCTTATTTAGATGTTGAGGCCTATAAATACGGGATGTGTGTCACTGCACTTTCTCCACAACGACCCAGACCGTAACAAAGATCATTTTTACTATATGAACACTGGAAATGACCTCCATTTAATGACTTACACATTTGTGAAAACGTACTTTTTCGTAAACAGAGGTTTGAAGAACGTTGATGGTTTGCTTCAATTTCAAACGCTTTTGTTGGATTTGGCTATACTCTATTCTATAGCTTCTATACAGAGAGACGGTCTGTAAAAACGAGCAAATCTTAAAAATCGGTGTTTTTGATTAGCCGCTTGGTTGAACTGTGGATGTATACTGGTTTTTCACTATTTTCAAAGTATTTAATCAATTTTTGACAGAATCGGATGAGTTTTGGTAAAGTTGGAGAAGAAAAAATATATTTGTAACTAACTGTAATTATTCTACACGACGTCTGCCTTAGCATCGAAACAATAGCGATTTGGAAGGTTGGCATTGTTACATCTTCAAGGTCCAACTCTTTGTCCGTAGTGGCTGCTGTCAATTTGCAAGATGCGACGTTCTGATAGGTTATGCTGACCACTGACGCCTGCGAATATCAAGAATCTGATCAATGTGTATAGTTCAACTAACGACATAAGGCACTACTGATCAGGCAATACTCATATGATATATAACCATTAAAATATGCCAAAAATTTGTTTTCTAGTGCTACACTTACTGTTCAAAATATTTCGAAAATGCCCTTCAAAAGATATCAATCGATATAATTAATAAAATTAATATTTTCGAAAATTCCTTGATTGTTCTTGAAAAACTGTTGGTACATTTTTTAGCAAAAATCTGAATAGTCATTTTAGTTCTTAACAACAAAGGCTAGTTCACTTGAACGTCATATAAATATCACACCGGATTATTCAGTTATGTGAAAAAGAAAACAAGCTAAAAATTTAATATTTTAAAAATATATTAATTTTATTATCCCTATGCACGCACCTGTTTAATCTGTTGAGAGCAATATTAACACCAATGTAATTCGATTAAAAATCCAAAATCTAAAAATTGTGAGAAGATGGTGGCTATAAAAATTTCCAATATCCCAGCAGTTTAAAAAAATTATTAGAAATTTTAAATTTTGAGTTAACAATTTTGCAAACGTCTATTGTTATTAAAAATGGAAATAATATACAGTGCACAAATAAAATATTGAACAAATTCAGTTGGTATAAGTCTATCATCTTTTTTTGTTCATTTTTTGCAGTAAATAGAAAATATACGTCGTGGGTTAAAACATTAAACACCTTTTTTTAAAATGAATTTTACAATTCTTACTTTGTTTGAGCAAAAGAATAAAAAACATCTCAAAGAAATTAGTTTATCATGTGTTGAAAATGCCCCCAATTGACAATTGCCACCTTCTTGACAAAAACCTGATCGGTTTTAAAAACCTTCCACAACGTATTTTCTCGGGATAGTTTCTTTAATTTGCCTATTTCGTAATCGTATACCTTGAGATCGTGCAGTTCATTGATCCCCTTCTAACAATCCGCTGTCCGGAAAGTACATTATTGAAATATTCAAGCGCTTGTCCAGCCAATTGGGGGGCGGAGCAACAATCCTGTTGAACCAAATATGTCTATCTGGCATATCAGACTGATTTGGATTTTGGAGAGAAACTACCAGAGTGCAGAGTGCGAGAGGACAGAAATGTAATTGTGACAATTTAAGAACTATTTTACTACCTATGTGTTCATTTTAAATTTTTTGTTGAAGTCCAATACATGATGTTTAAATTACTTTATTTTAGCCGTCTACTGTATATATTCGATTGAAAAAATAAAGAAGGCTGTGATAACTTTTTAATATGACCCCGTATACTTATTTTGGGAACAGCGCTGACTATGAATGTCAAAAAATGAAAAGCGCTGAGGAAATTCGAAATCCACATTTTTATCTTCAAAGATAAGTGAAAACTACCTCCAAAACTACTGTCTAAAGTCACAATAACAGATACTGGTATGTTTTCCTGGGAGTGCGGGACTATAAAAAAGAAACTACTAATTTCAGAACTGGAAAATAAATAAACTTGGCTGTGAAATCTGCCTTCAACTCTCGGACTGTGAATCCTTTCAAGTTGCAGAAGTATACCATCGTAGTACGCCTTCAAACGCATTGACGGAACGCGATGTCAGGCGATCGTTATCGGTATCGAATTAGTTGAGGCGACTGTCGAAGAGGCGCGTATCACCATGTCATCTCAACTATCTGCGACCGACGATCTCCCTAATCCGGCAGGCCGTGCCTGTCACGTCTCTTTTTACCACCGAGAAGGCGTCTGCAGTTTCGCTACCTGCTTAAAGTTTTCTGTTAAAAAATGAGACAGCTTACATCGATTATAATACTAGTTAGAAAAATATTATCGCAGAGAGGAGTCGGAACTATTTTTCATTGGAAAATATACGAAAGTTGCACATGGCATAAAAGAACACCCGAGGAGACTGCGGCTAACAACAAATGGATGGACAGTCAAACTTGGCAGAATGTGTTTCTGTGGAGGAGTTAGAGGGAGCTTCAATGATGGAACTGCTCCCAGCTTGGGTTTATGCTGAATCTCTTACCTGTAAAAACTGAGGTTAAAACTACGAGGTTAATAATACCTAATAATTATCCCTTGGTTGTCTCCGTCAGCATCCCAGAGGATGTAACTGATGTTTGTCCGTTTGTCTTTCGATTCAGTCGTTTAATTTTTAGTATATGACTTTAATCACATCCAAAATGAACTTCAATGAAATAATTTCAAACATGTATTTTGCTTATAAGAATACTTAAATCAGTCAATAGGTCTTCAATAGACAAAATTCAAGCGCAAGCAAGTTGCAAGCGAGTTGCGGTACACACCGAGCACAGAGTTCTTCCACACACGCTTAACAACGTCGAATTTTCTTTGAGTCTGTGGAATGCCATTTCTTGATTAAATAAATTAGCGTTTAGAACGTGATTCATATGTTGGCACTGGGTACATTAAAATTTAAAAATAATGTCATTGGTATACATTTTGATTGGAAGAAGAAATTTGCATTTGTAGCATCAGGAAAAAACTAATGCATTCAATACGGTTGGAACATTCCCGTTTATCAATTTTTTGGTGTGTTAATAGTATATTATGCTACAAGTCCGGTAATCGGCATTTGACTCACGAGTTTATTTGAAACGGGCGGAGCGAGTGTTTAATAAACGAGCGACTTAAAAAGTTTACCGAACGTGTTGCATACTATACTTTTTCTACGACCGTTAGTTTTTGGTACATTTTCGCAAAATAACACGAATACATTCACTGACATTGTCGGAATTGACACACGTCAAAATCCAAGGCTCCGAAAACATCCGATTGCTCACAAACCCGTGCGGTCAAATCCCTGAAATGTCTGAAGTGGCTCGAATTCATGGGAAACGAAACTGACGTGGTAAAATGACGCTTCCCGCACGTTAGATCGTTGGGTAATTAGGTATTTTACAGACGGGGGTAGAAAAATTGTATTATCTAAAGAGCTCGATTTGTGTCTGATTTTCAAACTTATTTATCATAGACTTTAAAGAATTTTCTGCATTTGTAACACCGCCCTTTGTCGATCTTCGAAATTTCCAGTTTTACAAGAATATTGTATTGTCAAATATGTCAAAAAAAAATTACTAAATGTCGAAAAATCTCGAAACCTACGTAGGTTACAAAAAAAAAATGAAATAAAAATTTGTTTCCATTAAAATGATTTTCTTTTTATTTATTTTTTATTTTCCTAGTCGTCACATTTTTATATACGGGGGGTAAAACAAAGTTACATTTATTAACTTATTAAACTTTTTTCCATCTACTATTTTTACGAAAATAATGTTTCTTTTAGGCAATGATGAAATATTTTCTTAAAATTCGCGGTGTTGCCACTTTTCGCAAAATTATACTTTTCTTAATTTTCTTAAATGAGCCACTCTGTATATTATTGGGTACAGGTCTCTGACTTACCGTTTTAGCTTAGCTGGCAGATAAAAGACTGGGTATAAGATATAAATTATTAAACCATGAAACTACGAATTAGTTCCTTATCAACATATTCAGAACCGTGTAAGAGCATTGTTAAGCAGTCATATTAAAAACAGAATATTAACCTTTGCACAATGTTGCCAAATTTCGCAAATTACCTATTTATACATTTAAATGTCTACGTGAAATGAGTACAAAAAATTAACAATAACTACTAATGCATATTACTTACAAGTACCATTAATTAAATTAGTTTTTCAATATGCCCGCCATTTTGAAGAATACAAGTAGTATATGCTATTTCTAAATAGTATATGGCATTTGAGACGTAATTCGTTTCATTCAGATAGACTTTTGCCGTGCAAACTTGTTGCTGCATTTCCAAAAATGTTTACGGTTTATCTTAGTAAACCATATTTTTTAATGTGCACCACAAAAAAAAAGTCCATCGGGGTCAAATCTGGACCCCTCGCTGGCCAGGAGATGATTTTGTTTTGTCCAATCCTTTCATTATGTATAAGTGGCCGAATTTCGTTCCTTAATAAGTTTAAATATCGTACGGATGTTAAATTTTGTTGGTAAATTATGGGTCCTAAAGTTTTAGATCTCCAGATTGCGCACCATACTTTCACGGATCTTCGCCCATGTTTGTATACTTAAAAAAAAACACATTTTTAATTTTCTGAACTCCGTTAATGCGTATTTTTTCTATTAAATAACACCGCAGACGTTGTTTGATTCATTGGTCCAATTATATTTTGAAAATGTTATCTAAAAAATTATATTGCAAAATTCGAGTCTTAAGTTAAAATCTGCTTGTTGTAGTTTTTGTACGGGTGTGAATTTAATTGACATAACTGTTAACTGGCATCTCGGGTGGAGGTCTCTGGAGGATTTTCAAAATGTAGAGGAATATCCAGCTTCATATTTTCATCCAAAACCGTTCGGTTTCTAACTTTTTTCACTAAAAGACTGCCATTTGTTCGAAACTGTTGGTATATTTTGGCAATTTTTTTTTTGCAAGAATTTTTGTATTATTGGAAAATATTTTTCAATTAAGCCAAAACGGTGAGTCACGTACTATGTTATATAAGTGAAATTGCTATTAAAGTGGCTATTCGAAAATCCAATGACATACAGAGTGTCTCACTTAAGAAAATTCAGAAAAGTATCATTTGCGAAACGTGACAACACCGCATATTTTAATAAAATATTTCAAATTTGATCATTGCCTAAAGAAAAGATAGAACAGAAAGAATAGATGGAAAAAAGTTTAAAAAGTTAATAAGCAACCCAACAATTATGCTTTAAACATAACCTGAATTCTGAACGTGATCGCTAATCAGTTCCAAACGGTGTATCATAGATCCATACTCGTATATATCGTGGAATATGTCTTTGTTTTTTAAAGAAAAATGTAACTTTGTTTTACAACCCTGTATATATAAAAGTCACGATTAGAAAAATAAATAAAATAAAGTTCATTTAATTTTTTTTCTAACCCCCGTAGATTTCGAGATAAGGTATAGACCCCTTTTAAACGGGCCACCCGTACAGAATTTACAGGGCATTCCATAACAACTTGTATAAACCTTTCTATAATCTTAATAATAATAATATCAATAATTAATATTAATAATAATAAAATATTTTGTAATTAAAAATTTTTCGACACTTATTGTAGTTATTAGGTATTCCATGCCGGAGCACAACTTAGTTATTATTGTAGGAGAGCTGGGTCCAAAGGGGTAACTCAAATTATTTTTTTAATTTTTTCGCATGCACCGGATCAGCCCCTAGTGAGTGACACACTGTACAATCCAACGATTTCGTGATTTTATACGTATTTCGGCGGAAGTGGTTGTAGCTGTTTAAGGATGCCGAAAGAACTAGAAGCGAATACGTGGATTTCCGTAATGAAATCTGTAAATCAGGAGGGCTTTTACCAAGATTTCCCTCAGGATTTGGCTTGAAAGTCACGCAACGCAAGCTGACTGATATCGTGGCGATAATATAGGTTACCAATAATTCCTATTGTTTCCGTATTTTCGGTGTAATTGAACAAAATAGCAAAAAAGTTTCAATTTCGATTAAAGTTTTATTTTGTGTAAGTTTAAAAATAAACTAAAGTAATTTAGATAAAGAAAAATAACAATAGAAATTCTCGCCATGCACTTCTTGTATAGCGTTCAGTATACAGTAGATGCTTGCGGTTTGTGGGTCAGGCTGCTATTTTTTGTGAAATGAAAGATGCCGACAAAAATTTCTCGATTTGCGGTACCCCTTGTATCTCCGTTAATATTCAGAACGAAGACAACCCAATAAAAGAGTATATTTAAAACCAACCTAATTTTGGATTTTTTTAGCAAAGGTTCGCCAAAGACTAATAATAAACCGTGTTATCCGACTTATCATTACTTGATATTAACTTTCAAAATCAAATTTACAAAAATCAGCATCAAACAATGGAACATTGCGAAATGCCACTGAAAGGGAATTAAGCAAGCCCGAACCATTATATTACTTAATGCGTTATGCAGAACAAGAAAATTTTGCCAATACTACATTCATGATAATGGAAATCAATTTGAGCAGTTTCTTTAGCTGTAAATTAACATATTCGTTTAGAGAATTTTTTTCTAAGACATACAATTTTTAAAATAATACAAATTTGAACTAATTTTGCGGGAGGAAAATAGATAGATTGGATACGATCCTGAATTAAAACAAAAGTGTGGAAAAGTGGTGTTTAATATTTTTATAAAATTATATTATATATTAAAATTTATAAAGTCATCCTGTAGCACATTTTTTAAATTTATTTTCAAATATTTCTTGATGCAATTTTGACTCTATTTGGTTGGTTTTATTAACATATACTGATACGAATGTACTAATGAATGTGAATGTAAACTTTAAAAGAACTAAGACCATGCCCAATTCTTATTAGATTATTAATACCTCAAGTACATTCTTTCGTTTAATCTTATATTAATAAATTCTAAAAGTAATACCGGTATTCACGTTTCACTTCACATCCATTTACGATTTGGAATTTGTATTTGGGCACGAGGAACCAAGTATGCTGCATCAAAGTAGCCCAAAAGTACCTTTTTCTACTCCCTTCTGTAAAACATCTAATTGTATGCTGATCTAGCGTGCGGAATGCACTTTACCAAGTGAGTGGTGATGGTGAGACATTTTCGGGCTATTACCGTACGGGTTTGGGAGCAATCGGATGTTTTCGGAGATCATGTCAGTGCATGCATTCGAAATGTTTTGCATCTAGCGTGCAGGAAGCGTCGCTTTACCACGTCAGTTTCCTTTCCCACGAATCCGAGCCACTTCGGACATTTCCGGGATTTTACCGCACGGTTTTGCGAGCAATCGGATGTTTTCGGGGATATTTCCCACGCTTTGAATTTTGACGTTTGTCAATTCCGACGGGCATGTCAGTGAATGTATTCGTGTTGTTTCACGAAAATGTACCCAAAAACTAATGGTCGTAAAAAAAGTATAGTATGCAACACGTTCGGTAAACTTTTTAACTCACTCGTTTATTAAACACTCGCTCCGCTCGTGTCAAATAAACTAGTGAGTTAAATGCCGTTTTCCGCACTTGTTGCATAATATACTATAAGTCACTCGTTTATTAAGCACTCACTCCGCTGTGCTCTGCTCGTGCCAAAACAAAACTCGTGTCTCTGTATTGACGAATAATGATTGTTTCAGAAAAAACTATGAACTACAAATGTTGAAAATTATTTTGGACTTTAATTTGGTGGTAACTTGTGTTTTTTGATTGTTAGCTGAATTTAGTTTAGATGTTTTAAGCCGTTTCAGAAGAAATAAGAAAAAGCAAGTTTTTTGGAGCCCCTTTTACAGAGCCGTATCTTCCGGACAAATGTTCATTAATCAAACCAACGTTATGTTTTTATAGTAAATTATGCAACAAGAGTTTATTTGATACTAGCGGAGCTGGTGTACGACCATTAGTTTTAGGTACATTTTTGCAAAACAACACGAATACAGTCACTAACATGAGCGTCGGTAATGTCCCGGAAATGTTCGAAGGAGCTCGAATCCGTGGACCACGAAACTTGCGTGGTTAAGTGACTTTTCCGCACGCTAGATAGGTGTATAATTTGGTGTTTTACAGAAAGGAGTAGAAGAAACTTAAACTCCTTTCTGGATTTATTGAAAAAGAAAAAAATCACTCAGCTCGAACTAACCAAAGTGGTCATGATATTTTTTATAGAACTAGAACTAATCAAAATGTTTCTATTATTTGTACCCAGTTTATTCCTTTTACACTTGTCTCATTAATAATTAAGGTCATTAAAAATCATTTTACTTAAAATACTTTTTTTGGCAACCGAGATGGACGACGCACCCTTATTGCATAGGTATTAAATCATAAAATGCATCCGGGCGAGGCAATTTTTACTAGTTTTCGACATCCACGAAAATATATCGATTTATAAATATCTCTTCCGGTAGGGCAGCCTAAGTGTACCCCTTTATAAATAGAGCCAAACTTTTGTGGAAACATAATCATTCCGCACTCCCTTGTAACACGGAACACCTTGATTTATTGACAAAAGTAAACGAAAACTGCAAACCAACCTTCATCTGCGGGGCAGAGGTGAAAGTATAACATGAAATTTGAAACCCGCATAGGTGCGGGTTATATCTGGAGTCCCTCGTATATTTGTTGTTCCCAAGTCATGTGCGGGCAGAATATTTACGAAATTCGATATTATTGTTAGTTTGTTTTAGCTTCGGCAGGCTCTGTCAGCCAGCGCCGTCGACGGCAAAGCGAATGATAAACAATGTTTATTTGATTTTTGGCTTCGCCCCCGTGAAACGTAATGTAGAATATGCGACACCGCCGACGACGATATACCAGGCCGGAAGTGCATTGTCAGCTTGAATGATGAAATTCAGAAACCCAATCTCTCCGACAAATTACGTCTACGATTCAGTTCTTTATTGTTTATAAAGGAATACAGTTTTAGGTCAATGACAATAACATACCAATGCTTATTCTAACAGAATCAACGGCTAAAACCGACCAAAACTTACCAAAACAAAAAAGAAACAAAAACAAATGAAAACATACATGATTTAAGTTGCGGCTTTAGGTGTAAGTTCTTCCATTTTTGACGAGGTTACAATGGGTAATGTAATCATTACTGTAAACAGAACAAAACCCATATCTGAACTAGATAGAGCAAAATTGACTAACTTGTCAAGCGCTCGATTTAATAGCCACATCTTCACTACGAACCGAGATATAAGGCTTTTTTCAATTTTTGACTCTTTTGAAAATTGTCCATAACGGTTTTATTTATGAAAATTTTGGATACGGACAAAAACATTATTAGGGCATTTATTTAAAAGCAAATGCAGTGGGGCACTCAGATTTTTTCTTCGGTTCTCCGTTTTCTCATAAATGAATACAAGTCCCTTATGGTATAAAAATTTTATAACTCGGTAACGGTAGCTCCTATGGTATCGCCATGGGTACAGAAATGATCAGCGTCACAAAAATTTTTTTGGCTGCCCGTTCTCCATTCTCGTATTTTGGTTTTTCCTGAATAACTTTCGAACCTTTGGAGCTACAAAATTAAAATTTGCCTCCATTTTAACTCTACACGAAACACATTAGCTTATAGGAAATGGCCGCGTTCCGACGCCGGCATCCACCTTTTTATGGCGATTTTCGCCTGTGTGTTGGACATGAAATACGACGAGTGTCCGAAATTTGAATCAATGGACTTCATATTTGACACGTATATGCAGATTTGCCCCGCTACGAAAATTGAAAATGATGGGATGGGGAGGGGGGAAATATT